AACGATTTGTTATTCCATCTCAATTTTTTTAATCTCCAATCGCAATAACGTAAAGTATTATTACCCGCGAACCAATGAGTCAAATTTAAGAAACAACCCACTGTTAGAAAGCTGAATGGCTACGGTTTAAAATGAATGTAAACCTTAACGTTTTAGTCTATTATTTCTTTAGCAATTTACATTTCAGTCGAGGATTGCGCTTTTTTTGATACACCCTGTATATCGGCCATAGCCGGGAGAACATGGGGAAGCTTTGGTAGAGGCAACCAACTTTGCTGCTGGAAATCTTGAAGCTAGGTCCTGTACGACAACTATATGCTTTGAGGACGGCATAGGGCCAAATAGATCTACTGCAACCGTCTTCCAACATTTTCTTGGTACCTCATGCGCTTTAATTGGTTCGGACGTCTTCTTGTCACTGAACATATTGCACTCTTTGCAACTCTCGACGAATTGCTTCACTTTCAGATGCATGTCAAGGAAGAAAAAATGATACCTTAGACGCCTTTCAATCCCACTCTGTCCCAGGTGACTTCCTCTGTGGGCCAGCTTAATTGCTGTATCTTGCAGGCTCTCTGGAAGAATAATTCTCTCTCCTTTGAACATAACGCCGTTTCCTGCGATGGTTATTTCTGGGATAAGTTGCTCGAACCTTCGTACTTTAGGATGCGAAGTTTTTGGTATCCATTTTCGACCATGTAAGGATGGCTCGGAATGTGTTATAGTCATTATAGTATTTAGATATGTAATTTATATTGTGACGAAGTTTATAAAATTAAAAAAAAATTAAAAAAATAAAAATAAAAAATTAAAATTAAAAACCATTTTGTATGATCTTTGCAAGCTCAGTTAATGTTGGATTGCTAATCCATTGTGCTTTGCACGCGTGGGTTCGTATCCCATCCTCGTCGCCATTAATATAAGTTCAATTTAATCAATCTTTTCTCACCCTAAATTAAATACTATCTAACATCTCTCCTCCGCCATACTTGAATCCCCGTTCTCACCGTCCCGCGGTATATGTCTATGATACCACTAAATACTTCATTTAAATATAAATATAGGGTACCTTACTGATGATGGCCGGTGGACCTTCCAGGGGGTGCAGCTCGCTACATACCTTAGCTAGAGCATCACGAAGTGTGTTGGCTTTCTCGTCGTGGATAATAGACGTTGCGGTAAAGGATGTCGTTGTTTCGCGAACGACTATGATAGTTTGTTTACACCGCTTTAAGACATCTGCGGCAAATGAAACTCCAACGACCTTGGGAGGTTCTTCTGTGCTATGCTGTACAACTTGAGGTTGGAGCTTTTTCAGGGAGGCACACGTGTGACATGTGTCACTCACATGAGCGATGGCAGCTGGCATGTCAAGTGCGAAGAAGTTGCGTCTCATCACCAGTTGGAGTTGGTGTTTGACGGGTGGTCGAGTTTGATATGTAAGGCTGTTACAAGACCGTCAAGTACGGAGCGTGGTACTACGATCAACTCGGCGGAGGGTGATAAAGGATCGGTTCTACGAACCACTAATAAACCATTTTTGGCATTGGACAGGGAATTTAGGTAACGTTTAACATCCTTTACATTTGTTAATTTCTTAGAGGGACGTGTTCCTTGTTTCAGGTGAGCATGTGTTCTGCGTAGGTCGGGACACTCGGATTGTATTTGGATCCAGGCAGATCGGGTTGTAAAAGGTAAGCGGGGGAGGTGGTGTACGTCTTGAACGGAGGTGGATCGAACTACGGAATCTTCTGTGGTTGAAATGAAGTTACAAATTTGGCATTTCGGTTCATTGCACTCTAGTGCGTTTCGACTGGCAAAATCCGAGGGAACATTCGCTGTGCCAGCGAGGTGGTGTATGTCCGCTTGGTACCTGCTGACGATGGATAAAAATGACGTAACACGGGGGGCTCGCTGAAAATTCACCTCGACGCAGTTTA